CTTAGAGGTTATCTTCTTCGAAACGAGTTCTTGATCGCTTTTGGGAAATAATGAAATCAGACGATATGCAACTTGTCTTTTACTTCTCAACGATCTCTAGAAAGCAAATCCACTTATGGAATAAGCACATATACATTTTAATGTTGCTGGAATTATTTATTAGTTTCTTTTAATTTTTTCTTGCATTTGTTTGTTTGTGATTCGAACGTTTAGTGAGACATGAATCTTAAAACACCGAAGGACAATGTCTAACTATTGCTGCTTCAAAATTCGAACAGTATTTAAATTCACAGCAATCGATAACTAAGAGAAATGCAGGATTCGTTTCGTAGAACACGTGTCAGATTTGAAAATCGTCTGGTTTTCATAAAAAGCCAGATTCAGTGAGTACCACAATGGGAAAGATTTATAGACTGACGATTTTCGAACCGAATCTCATAAAATGAATTGGAGGGTTAAAGATCTTTCGATCGCCCTCTAAAATCCTGACGGCAGTGGTGATGATATAAGGGCAATGCAGTACACAGATAATTTCCCGTGTAACGAGTTGATATTCTCTCCTATTTTAAATTTTCAAAGACTGCATGAATTAGAACAGCGTATTCGTGCGTTGTTAAAGAGAAGTATATCCTGAAAGAGTGGCGGTTCATGACTTCGAAAGTTAGTGGTTCATAAAATAAAGCCGGAGTGACTCTCTAAAAGGGCTATTGGGGTTGACCCAGTGCTCTCCGTGAACGAACCCAGCCATTCGCGAGGAATACTTTACTGTGCTTCAAGAGAGCAGCTAAGAATTCTCCTACGACTTAATAGGATGGGGGTGCCCACCCGTCACAGAGAACATAAAACGTTACCTGTTCTTAATTTTTTGTAAGTTGAACAATGTACGTTTTCTCTTTAATAGTAAATTGCCATTAAAACGTTTATGAAATAAAACCCTTTTGCTGCGCGCAATTCACAACCTTCTCAAGGGGTTTGCTCAGCCATGCCATCTCCTCATCGGCTTGTACGAGCGAAAGCAATCTCCAAGCCAATGCGTGCTCTATGACAACGAAATTTCACGCCCATGTCTTTGTGGTGCTAACTACCATCTTGAAGCTCTACGCCCCTTCAAGAATCAAATGGGATAATAGGAACACTGAGTTTAACAGGATGTAAGAATAATAACACTTCTGAGTAACAATAATATAATACAATATTGATATCAAAACTATGTACAATTTAAAGTATATTACAATGAAAATTGTATACATTATTTTACAAAATTGAAAAAAGTACTGTATCACAAGCAGCTGCACTCTTGTTCATTAACAGTAATGGAATGTTCTCTCTCGCATACATCGTGCTACTCCATAATTAGTCATCACTCTTTCTCATATTATTACACTTTTGTGTGGGTTTCTTTTGAAACGTTAGATCTTCAATATGTCAGTTGATTTCCTGCACACGAAGAAAGGAGACAATTAGATATCTACTTATTGTAAATTCAAAATCCATGAAAGGTAATTTACAATTCTATATCATGAAAAAACATTGAATGAAACAAGAATGGTGATTATTTTTTTAAGAAGTTTTGTCACCAATTTGCAAAATATAATTTAGAATAATGAATTGAATTTGTAAAATAAATACTACATTGCTTATTCTAAGCGTTGTAAACCATATAACTTAATGCCATAATTGAGAAAGAATGCAATGAAATTTTTTAAAGTGTACAGAAATGTGTAATTATTAAAAATAATTGTAAATGTGTAAATATGGATTAAATTTGGTGGCAAGTTTAAGTAAAACATGCAAATCAAAAGAAAATATTCATAAAACTGGAAAACTGTTTTAACAATTTATGTCAATCAGATAAAAAATGGCATATGATTTTTCAGTAGATACAAACATTTACTTTATTTAATTATGAAATGCATTAGATAAAAGCGATCCTGAAAGCTTTTTAACACATTGAAAGTTATCCGACTGTAATTGCAGCTCTATGAAACAGAAAAGTCATTCGCGGATTGATCTTAAAACGACGTTTAAAGAACATGACGCGTGGAAAGATGCTTTTCTTCCTCTGCGTGTGCGGAATTGGGGAATCCTAAGTGTAAAGATAAAACTGTGAATGCAACGAAGAAATCAAAATAATTTCGTGTAACAGCATCGGCTACTACTTACCTTAATATAACATAGAACCCAGTTAAGTGAATGGTGTACTTGTATTAAAATAAAATGAAAGTTGGTAAGACTATCTAATAGAATATGACAGCCTCGTGTCGCAATCCTCTTTACTCGCAAAATAAAATGCATCTTACATCACTCATTTCATAAATAACTATTACTTACTCATAGCATCATTTTCCCACACTTTTTACCCTGCTTGTGAACCATGGTAGTTCTTTCCACTAACTACCATCAAAATGTGAAAAACATTAACATCCATTTCTTCCATATTTCATAAAATATTCAAGAACATAATGTTTGAGATTGTTCAATTGATTCCACTCTTCATACGACTTTGAGTGTTCAGTCTCACACCTGCAAATATAAAATATTTATTACCAGATTGACGCGGCGCCTCTAGTAGGTATTTTCATAGTCTTTACCACTCGTGTAATTAAAACCAATAGTGCTTAACTACACTTACAAACTGCCCCAATCACGGCGGTGTATCTCAAAAATTTTATCGCTTTTTCTATCCGATTTTTCTTACCGCTTCTACCTACTGGCCAATCATAAACGATGATACGTATATCTTACGTAGCCGATATACATCGATCACTATGTAGATGTCCTATAAACAACACTATTAATGTACTATAACCTAACCTCTAACTTAAACATATGCTTTCAGTTATTTTCAATATTTGGCGCATTTTGGAGCTCTGTTGGACATAATTTCACTCATACTTTGGATATTCTCATTATTGACAATTTCCATAGTACTTATGGTATTATCTATGATAGTACAAGTTCTTTGGAAATTGTCGATAAATGTTCGACTCGCGAAGTGAGGTGGGAGAATTTCCAAAGCGCGAGAACTATTTACTAGGACTATTCCACGAATGAAATTAGGTCCAATAGAGTCACAAAACGCTCCAAAAATTGAAATCAGTCGAAAGCTATGTTAAAAAAATGTTATTGTACCTACGTTCACTGTCCATTGGACATTGACATAGCAATCAATGCATACCGCCTCCAACGGCAGGTATGTCACAGTTTATGATTGGCTAGTAGGGGGAAGCGGTAAGAATAATATGATAGAAAAAGTTCGAGATAATGAATAGGCATTTTGTTTGTATAGTTAAACACTATTGGTTTTAATTTCACGAGTGGAATAGTCTACTAAATACTACACGTGCATTAGATATTTTTGATAAATTCACAAGTCGCAAAGCTGCAAATGACGGTCAGAGACGAAAGCGAATGCCAACCGCTTGTCATGGATGTCGTACGTCCTCTTTGAAAGTGCCTGCACCATTGCCGAACTTCGCTGTCACTCGCGGGAGTTTTACCACGCACACTGCTCACTTGTCAATGAATTGCGGCTGCATTACTACCTCAGAATGACGAGAAGAAATCGAATGACGACACGCGCTACACTCTTGGAGGAGACTATTGTTCTAGGCATATTTACGTGCCTGCCCTGCGCGCTCAGATACGCCACCTGGGGCCCATGGGCATCTTTGGACATTCTAGAGATAACATATCTGCGCACTACATCATCGAATTTTCATCGTGTTTTTAATTTTGGTTTAATCGGGTCTTCAAACAAATAGTCTTGCATATTGGTATCATATTATTAATTGTACAGATTATTATTATTATTATTATTATTATTATTATTATTATTATTATTATTATTATTATTATTACTGAAGGAATACATGGCCGTCTCTGTACCAAGAACGAAAAACGGTATTTAGTGATAAATATATGCCAATGACGTGTTTTATAATTTTCTAAATAATTGAGGGTGTATCATTGGCTTTGAGAGGGGAGGGATGAAGCCCCATGAGCCTTCCCACGCACAAGCACCATTTCTGATACCGAAATATGAAAATCTGAAATCAAAAAAAGAATCTGAAGCCTTCAGAGTTTCCTCTTTAATTCCCAAGTCTTTAAAGCCTCCAGATCTGTATTCGAAACAAAATTCGTTACAAAATTTATCTTCAATTTGCAGTTGCTGAATTATTTAATAAGCAAAAATAAAAATAGACAATTTCACTAACACATGTGCAGAAAACGAGAGCTTTCATGGAATCAAAATTGATAATTTTTGTTTTCAGTAAATTGACAAATGCACTTCACTATTTAGTTACTGTCACTAAAGACTTGAAACAATTTGTCATGGATATTTCTGTAATTGATTTTGAGACTTAAAAAATGCCAATCCTGTCATCATCTGAAGTTTCTTCGTCTCTTCGTTTTGTTACTTCTTACAAAATTTGAATTCTTAAAAACGGATGATTAATAAAAGTCTTCAAGATTTAACATTTTTTTTCTTCGAACCGGGCATCGAACGTTTAAATTATTCATGTAATACAAATTTATACTATTGGTTTAAATATGAATTTCAAACGAAACAATCTATTCCAATGAACAATTATACAACAATTATCTGACAGAGTGAAGTGGAATTCTTCAATATTTAGAAATGCCGAAAGTCGAATTGTTCAGTAATTCGAAATGATAACTGTTAATTATTCAATAAATCAAAACTTCTAGGCCTCGAATTATAGACAGTAATTGCGTAGACTTCCGCGGCCTTTGCGCTGCCTACGCTATCCGACCGAGACGCGGCTCGTCCCCGATAGCCTAGACAATACTCGAATTCTATAATTCGATATCTAGATATATGTTCATTCGTTTTGTCTCTTCTTGCTACAGTTGTGTATCGATATTCAATAGGGAGTTTTTGCACACTTTAGCGGGCAGCACTAGTTCGAAATGCGCGTCCTCGGACCGTCTTCTATTTAGAGCAGAATGCCCCTCTGAACCGTACGTCCGCGTACCTGCGAGGGCGAGGGCGCCGCTAGACTGCGCTCTCCTTGTGCCGCGTCGGCGGCGGCGGGGGCGGCGGCGGCGGCGCGGGGGCAGGCGGCGTCTGCGTCTGCGTGTGCACGTGCTGGCGCGCGCACGGCTCGCTGCCCTCAGGCGCCGCACGGGGCGCCACAGTCGTCGCCATCTAGGAGCAGCATTTCGAGGTTTTACCCTTCATGTTCGTAACTACCAGATTGAGAAAGTTATTGTGTGTTTATCTCAGTCGTGGTGGTGGGATTTACGTATTTCATTTTTATTCTACCCCAATAATTGAAAAAATCGTGAGTAGCCGAACCTACAAAAGATCTGAAGAGGTTATGATTCGTATATCGTGTAATAGCTTATTTTATTGATTTCTTCATTGAATATTAGTACGAGAAAGAAAAATTATAATGTTTTGAGATAGCCCCCCTTGTTGAAATTAGCTCATACAGTCCTGTTTCGACGACTCGTAAGTGGAAATGGCAAATTATAAACACTCACGCGGAGATGGAAATACGATGCTGGTGAGCTTGTACGTGCTCAGAAAAATCATAATTAAAGAAACCGCAATTAATCTCCCGCTTTCTTGCCTTCGTTCTTTTATAAATTTTTTTAATTTTGTAAATCTTGTATTGTGTTGTACAGGCACGTACAGACTTGGTCTTCAAACACCCTTGTGATAGTCCGGTTCAGTACTAATGGGGTTGTGTGTAGTGTTACCTGGGCAACCGGAGCGGGCGCCCTCTGCGTCTGGCCGATGAGGTCTCGCCACGACGCCGCCAGCTGCCACCGAATAGGAGGTGCCTCGAAGCTCAAGAGACTCTCCTGCGTCACACCAGAGGGTAGCATAGCACTGTGTGGAAGTGGAAGAAGCACAGCCAATGGGAGCCTAACAGCATGGGCGAACTCAGTTCCTGAACGTTGTTACTTTGGGGGTAGTTGTTCAACTAGTAACGCCAGAGTGTGCTGTTACAGATAGATTTATCGCTTCAGCAAAAAAGAGGAGCGAAATAGAAAGTTAATACAATACAAAATAAGTTCCTCCCATAGATCTTATTTAAGTTGTCGAACACCGTATTCTGAAGTGAAACACGACCGTTGCTCGAAAGAACATCCGATGAAGAAGAGTTGCGATTACACATTTGTTTGTAATTTTGTTATTATTTAATTTCAATTCTTCATGGATAATTTTTCATGTACTACGACCGAGGATGAAAAAACAGACATCTCCATGTTTAAATTTCCAGAAGTTCGTGGGTACACAACAATTAAGCACAGTGTTTTACCTACGTGTAGGTTGTTGAAAATGAAGAGCATTATATAGACTAAAAGGAAGAAAGGTCGCTAACATTGTTTAGAGATCGAAATAATATAGTATATAACTTATTTTATTTGATATTTTGCAGTTCATTACCTATTCATATTAGTACATGACCCACAAGTCTATATGTACTGCAAGGACTTGCAACAATGTTCTCTTCTTTAATGTTTGTTGATCCCCAGCAGAGGAGTATCTACGGTGTGGAAGACAGGTCACGTGCCAAGGGTGCCACTCACAAGGAGCGCTATTTAGAGTATACCCGCAAAAACAAATAACAATCCTAATTTGAAGTATCATGACGGGCGCAAATTCTATGCTGGTCATGGCCGTCTGAATATCTACATCGCAAGTCGGTGTAATATGAAATCTCGCAGTCCTGCTCATTGAACAACGCGTGATAAGGGGAGCGCCTGTTTCTGGAATGATGCCAATTCACAATTTAGAGGCACAAAGAGCATAATAATTAATGGTTCCCTTCCAGGAAGTTGCCGAAGCAATCGATTCCTCTGGAAGAATATCCACAGAGACAGAGTTACAATTGCTTAATAAGGATCATTTCGAGAACTGTTCGTCATGCAACGTCAAATTTGTGTAACCTCTACGTGAAAATGAAACTAATAATACCCAACTGTCCAACTTTGTTAAATATTGTATGTTCCTTGAAATCCATGTAGAAATATGTGTAACCAATTACAAGGTATTACATGGCATAGAAAAACTCGAGAGAAAGTAATGAGGTAACAAGAATTCATAATAACAACACAGGTCCAATTGGATTTAAATATTCGGGCTGGAAATCTTCATTAGAGAAAAACCATTGTCATTCATGACTTGATCACTCTAAATTCGCTTGAGGTGATGGGTCTGGCAGGGAGTAGGTGCTTAGCGTTGTGTGCGAATTGGCTCAGGCATCACAGGATGTGGATGCATGCGGTGAGGGGTGGAGTGGGCAGGGCGGGGTGGTGTGGGGTGTGGTTTGGAATGGAGTCGAAGGGTGTGGTGTGGAGTCGTATGGTGTGGTGTGAGTGGTGTGGTGTGGTGTGGTGTGATGTGGTGCGGTGTTGTTTGGTGTAGGGTGGTGTGATGTGATGTGAGGTGGTGTGGTGTGATGTGGTGTGGTGTAGTGTGATATGGTGTAGTGTGGTGTGATGTAGTGTGGTGTGGTGGTGTGGTGTGGTGTGGTGTGGTGTGGTGTGGTGTAGTGTAGTGTGGTGTGGTGTGGTGTAGTGTAGTGTGGTGCAGTGTGGTGTGGTGTAGTGTGATGTAGTGTAGTGTGATGTAGTGTAGTGTGGTGTAGTGTAATGTGGTGTAGCGTGGTGTGGTGTGATGTGTGGTGTAGTGTGATGTGGTGTGGTGTGGTGTAGTGTGATGTGGTGTGGTGTGGTGTGGTGTAGTGTGGTGTGGTGTAGTGTGGTGTGGTATGGTGTAGTGTGGCGGGGAGTGCGCACGTACCGCCGTGTGCGTGCGCGAGTACTCCCGCGCGCCGTGGGGCGTGGTCGCGGGCTGCGTGGGGGAGTCGGCGCTGAGGGTGCGCGCGCTCGAGCCCAGGCTGCGCTTGTCCAGCGCCCGCAGATCCCCGCGCGACAGCTCCAGCTCTGAAACACACACCACTCACTCACTCACTCTCAGAGCACCAAATCTCTACTAGGCATTCATTCATCTACAAACACACTCTTTATTTTCTCTCGCGACCCATACCATGGAGCACGTGCTCTTGTCGTAACATTTAGGCAACGGCGTGAAATCCCCTTGACATTCCTTTCGGGCCCTCCAACAACCGCATGTCCACAGGTTTCGGGGTTAGTTTGTCTTAATGACTAACTAAAATTAACTTAATCTCATTACACAGTTAAAATTACTGTGCACTTTGGACTGCCTAACTTACTGGTAAATAGGAATTTTTCTCTTAATGTCGGGAACGTTTTTTAAGATTGACGCGTGCTTCATCCTGGTTGGCAGCGCATGGCGCACTCACCGCCGGTGTGCGGGACGACGTCGGGGTTGTCGTGCGCGTCGTCGGGCGCGTGCGCGAGAGCGAGCGCCAGGGCGGTGGCGGTGGGCGTGGCGGCGGCGGCGGCGTCCAGCGGCTTGGGCGGGCGCTCGCCCTGCGCGCTCG